AAAGTAAACCTACAGGTACTACCGAGAAGCAACCAGAACCACACGTAAAAAGATCAAGCACGATCATAAAGCAAGACCCAATCATCATCGGTGGCTTACTTCGCGTCAGTGGACGTCTTGGTATGTCTAGCATACCAGAAGGTGCAAAACACCAGATAATACTGTCCAAGAATCATCACGTGACAAGGCCACTAATCGAAAAATATCATCAATCGAACAATATCAGGTCACTCCGGCAGAAATTATGTCCCTTCCCTCCTGCGTGAGAGCCAATTCAGCCGTTTGCCGCGTTCTAAGMAACTGTATCAGCTGTTAACGACGCCAATCTCGCCCGAGATATCAAAAAAAAGCCAGACTTACCATTCGACAGCACTTTCCAGTCCAGACCAACCTTCACAAAGAAGTTTGGTAAAACGCTACGGGGTAGTCTTCATGTGCTTGTGTACAAGAGCCGTACGCATGGAAACAGCGCACAGCTTAGATACGGATTCTATTATTATGGCGCTCAGACGATTTATGTCGAGAAGAATGCAGGTAAAAGAAGTACGTTCTCCTAATGGTACCAATCTCATCACTGGAGGAGAGAGAGAGAGCTCCGTGAAGCACTGAATGAATGGAACCAAAACGCCATTCACAATCATCTTCTACAGGATGACATCAAGTGGACGTTTAATCCACCGTACATCCAAAAGACACGCGAAGTCTTAAACGCCGTACACTAGGAGTTCTAGATGAGAGAGACATACATTTGCGAGGTTGAATTAATTATCAATTGTCAACCCTTAAATGACTAAAATGACTTACAAGCGCCAACAGTCCAAACCGACTGCTTTTACTTAAAAGAAATCGCTTCCAGCGGGAGTATTCTGAAAGGAAGACACATATTCCAGGAGACGATGGAAACAGGCACAACATATGGTTAACATTTCATGGAAACTATGGTCTCCTTCTGCGGGAGAGAAAGAAGTGAACTACTCCGCACAGAAGCTACAGAGTTGGAGACCTAATGCTTATCTATGATGACCCCGAGAAACCAATGGCCGTTAAATTAACGAATAAGTATCGATTAGGTTTAGTTGCGAGAGCGTACATGGCTAGGCATGTTGTAATTGAAAGATTGAAGACATATCGTGTATATTCATGCCCCAAGGACACACTTTTCGGTAGGAAAAGACTTATTTAAGTAGGATACTGCTTTATTTACAGATTGTAATTAATTTTTCTTTGTGTTTGGTAAACCTAGAATCACCTAGAATCGTCGAAGCCTAGAACCCAGAAATCTCTAGAATCCTAATAATTTTCGTGAAATACTTCTTAAGGCATAACTGGCATAAGATAACTTTATTCCAAACGTTTCGCCTTATTTTATGCCTTAAGAAGTATTTCACCAAAATTATTATTATTGCACAAGGCATGGCAAACAAYTACTTCTCTAGAATCCTATAAACTTGAATCCTTGTGGGCACTAGCTTAAGACGATGATTGTGAATAAAGGACTGTTCTAGCGTTTGCTCGGTTTTTTATGGAGCTTGGATATGAAGAAGGAGAAGCCCGGCTTTAGAAATAAATCTTACAGACGGATCGTGGAAATATATATAGATTTCTTCATGGAAAGTGCTGACGTACGGGATTTTCGCACGAGTTGGTGATGAATCTAAAATCGAACGAGTGAGCGTAGCGAACGAGTGAGATTTTAGATTCAAAACCAACGWGTGCGAAAATCCCGTACAAAAGCACTTTCCATGATGAAKTTTGTTTATTATATACATACTGAGATTTTATAGCGTCTACTTGAGCGACTTTTGTGCATTTTAATGACGGTTTTGTCTTACAAACTCGCTTGAAGTTATTTGCGATCAAACTACGATACAATTTAAATGCTGAATTGGATAATTATAAATAAATCACATCAATAACTTAGTTCATAGTTAATTTTCATTCACTGAATATGATAAAAATAACGAAAAGCTACATTAGAGGAAAGTGCAACAAGCCTACAAACCTTAATCAATGAAACTGTTTACTTTCTATCGCCGTCGTCGCGAATCAACTTTTATGGACGCGTTTTATCAATATAATAGTGTTCTGTTTTCTATACTTCTGTTGAAGATGAAGTACATCTAGGACTTATATCTAATACTGAGAAATTTGCCATATAAAATACAGCTTTGAACAGTTCCGTTGGCGACGGTGGTTGACTTGACAATGAGCGCGGGTTTCAGTTTCAAA